CCCCGACAGGCCAACCACGAGATCCAAACCAACACCCATGAGGCCTCTGACCTACCACCCAGGGCACGGTGGCGGGAGCAGTGACAGCACTTGTGCACAGCATGTTCCGGCGGGAGCCTTCCGGAACACGCTGCAGGAGGAGGAGGAAGATCAGGAGGAGAGAGAGTTGGAGTGGGAGGAGGAGGATGGGGACGAGGAGGAGGAAGAGGCCTCCCAGACAGCTCCAAGATAGCCGAAGAGGCTTCCAAGAGGGCCCTGGGCGGCCCACGGGGGGCCCCAAGGCGGTGCCTGAGGCGCCCAAGACGTCCCGAGAGGGCCCCAAGACGGCCCCAAGAGAGGCCCAAGAAGGGAAACACGAACCGAGAATCCGAGCTTTCTACCCCGAGAGGTTCTCGGGAATCCCAAGAGGCCCCCAATCGGATCCAAGAGGCCCCCAAGAAGCTCCCAAGAGGGCCGACGAGGTTCCAAGAGATCTCCCAAGGTGGCCCCAAGAGGCACAACTCATAGTTTTACGATTGGGCTTTGACGGGTTTTAATTTTTTCGGCCTTTTGGCATCCCGATGCTCCAAGACGGCCCAAGAGGCTTCCAATACCGCTCCCATATAGAGGAAGAGGCCTCCAAGAGGGCCCCAAGACGGCCCGCGAGGGCCCCAAGACGGTGCTTGAGGCGCCCAAGACGGCCCGAGAGGGCCCCAAGAGCCCCAAGAGAGGCCCAAGAAGGGGAACGCGACCCAACAGCAGAGCGGTCCCCCCAAAAGGCCCACAGGAGGCCGCAAGAGGCCCCCAAGTGGTCCGACGAGGACCCCAAAAGCTTCCCGAGAGCCTAAAAGGCCCCTAGGAGACGTCCAAGAGGCTTTAAAATAGCCCAAGAGTGCCCTCGATGCGTCAAAACTGCTTCCAGGAGGCCCCCGGGAGGCTTCCGGATTGCCTCAATCTGGCCGCAGGTGGCCTCAAGTCGGGCTTCCACGCAGCCAAGACGGCCAATGAAAGCTTCAGATTGCAGAACCGATGCCCCCAAGGGACCCTCAGACGCCCCCCCAAGAAGCACCCAAGAGGTGCCTCCATCAGCCAGTTGACGAAGCATGCGGAACACCCTAGAAGCTCCTCAGATGCCGTCGCGCGCCTGTGCTTGATATCGTTGTCCAAGATCGTCCAGCGCCCCCCAGGGGCCCGACAACAGCTGCCCGACCCTCCAGTACCGGGGCTCATTTTCGCTGTGCTTTTACGCGGTTTCGGCGTCCCGGGCCTCGAAGGCCGCCGCGATGCTCCCGGACATTTTCCAGATCCTCGGCGCGGGCTCCAAGACCATTCCGCAGAGGGCTCCAACAGGCTCCAGGGCAGCCCAAGAGGGCTCCAAGACGGCTCCAGGAACGACTGCAGGGTCTCAGTTTTTCTGTGTTTTCTGCAAGACGGCTCCAGGAAGACTGCATGTCTTATGAGGATGGCTTCCGCCTCTTGCCCCGAGCATCCCAAACTGCCTGAACGGTCTCCACTCGCCTTCCCCAAACCCAGCGCTTGCCCAAGCGCGTTCCGGACGGTCTTCGCCGGAACGCGCTGGAATGATCACGCGCTGCGGTTTCCCATGCCAACGTCCTCGGACGTGGGCGCCCTGCCACGAGCGCGTTCCGGGAAGATGCTCCCGGAACGCGCTGAAAAGATATGGCCACATCTCGGGGACGCTCCCGGCACCGCTGCCCCAGCCTTTCCGGCAGCCTCCACAGCGCTCCAGGAGGGCCCAAGACGCCCCCCAGGAGCCCCCAGAATGCGAAAGGATGGCCCAAGACGCTCCCGAGCAGCCCAAGTCAGCCTTCCGACGGCTCTCGAGGCTTCCAGGTGGCCTCCAAGAGACCCCAAGAAGTCTGATAGGTATCACGGTACGGCCCGAAGAGGCCAAAGTCGTATATGTTCAATGGTCTTTTCAATGTTTTTGGTTTCTCGCGTTTTCGAGCTTCCAACGGTCCAATAGCGCCGAAGAGCCGCCATGGGGGTACCGGGGCTCATTTTCCGTTTGGTTTTACAGGGTTTCCGCGTCCTGGGCCTTTGAGGCCGCCGCCTCCGACCCCCCATGGGAGGACGGGGCGGCCGGGGAGGTCCAAAATAGTCCAGGAGGGCCTCCAGAGGCTCCCAAGATGGCCCAAGCGGGCCCCGAGTCGCCGAAAGACCGCTCCAGGACGCCCAAGATAGGCCCAAGACGGCCCGAGAGGCCCCCCAAGGCACTCCACGACGCTTCAAGACGCCTCTCCAGAGCGCTTCCAGAGGCCGAAATCGTCAATTGTACGAAGGTTTTCGAACGATTTTGGCCTGCCAGCCTTTTCGGCTGTCCGACGTTCCAAGACGGCTCAATAGGCCCCCAAGGGCGCCCCAAGACGGCCCAAGAGGGCCCCAAGACGGCCCCAGAGTCGCCCAAGACAGCCCAACAGAGCCCCAAGACGGCCCCAAGATGCGCCCAAGAGGGGGACCACGACTCCAAAATTCGACCCTCCCGCTTGAAGAGTGCCCCAGGAGGCCCCAAGGAGCCCCCAAGAGGCCCCAGGAGGCCCCCAAGAGGCACCCAGGAGGCCCAAACGAGGCCTAAAGAGGCCACAAGACAGCCCCGAGGAGGCCCCACAACGGTCCCAAAACGGCTACCGAGAAGCTGCGAAACTGCCTTCACGACGTCCCCGACAGGCCAACCACGAGATCCAAACCAACACCCATGAGGCCTCTGACCCACCACCCAGGGCACGGTGGCGGGAGCAGTGACAGCACTTGTGCACAGCATGTTCCGGCGGGAGCCTTCCGGAACACGCTGCAGGAGGAGGAGGAGGAAGATCAGGAGGAGAGAGAGTTGGAGTGGGAGGAGGAGGAGGAGGGGGACGAGGAGGAGGAAGAGGCCTCCCAGACAGCTCCAAGATAGCCGAAGAGGCTTCCAAGAGGGCCCTGGGCGGCCCACGAGGGCCCCAAGGCGGTGCCTGAGGCGCCCAAGACGGCCCGAGAGGGCCCCAAGACGGCCCCAAGAGAGGCCCAAGAAGGGAAACACGAACCGAGAATCCGAGCTTTCTACCCCGAGAGGTTCTCGGGAAGTCCCAAGAGGCCCCCAATCGGATCCAAGAGGCCCCCAAGAAGCTCCCAAGAGGGCCGACGAGGTTCCAAGAGATCTCCCAAGGTGGCCCCAAGAGGCACAACTCATTGTTTTACGATTGGGCTTTGACGGGTTTTAATTTTTTCGGCCTTTTGGCATCCCGATGCTCCAAGACGGCCCAAGAGGCTTCCAATACCGCTCCCATATAGAGGAAGAGGACTCCAAGAGGGCCCCAAGACGGCCCGCGAGGGCCCCAAGACGGTGCTTGAGGCGCCCAAGACGGCCCGAGAGGGCCCCAAGAGAGGCCCAAGAAGGGGAACGCGATCCAACAGCAGATCGGTCCCCCCACAAGGCACACAGGAGGCCGCAAGAGGCCCCCAAGTGGTCCGACGAGGACCCCAATAGCTTCCCGAGGGCCTATGAGGCCCTTAGGAGACGTCCAAGAGGCTTTAAGCTAGCCCAAGAGTGCCCTCGATGCGTCAAAACTGCTTCCAGGAGGCCCCCAGGAGGCTTCCGGATTGCCTCAATCTGGCCGCAGGTGGCCTCAAATCGGGCTTCCACGCAGCCAAGACGGCCAATGACGGCTTCAGATTGCCGATGCCCCCAAGGGACCCTGAGACGCCCCCCCAAGAAGCACCCAAGAGGTGCCTCCAACAGCCGGTTGACGAAGCATGCGGAACACCCCAGAAGCTCCTCAGATGCCGTCGCGCGCCTGTGCTTGATATCGTTGTCCAAGATCGTCCAGCGCCCCCCAGGCCTGGGCTAGAACCTGAGCGCGCGCGAAGCGCGCGCGATGGTTCTAGTGTATATATATACACAGATATGTGGGTATATATATATATATATATGTATATGTATCATCGAAGGAAAACAGCAAGACAAAATTATCCCAGTGCGACCCTACCTAGGAGTTGGAACCCCCTAGGAAAGCAGCATTAGTAGTAACAGTAACGCCAAGCTAAAGTTAAGCTAAAACTAAGCTAAATCTAAGCTACAGCTAAGCTAAATCTAAGCCACAGCTAAGCTAAAGTTAAGCTAAAGCTAAGCTAAAGCTAAGCTAAAGCTAAGCTAAAACTAAGCTAAAGCTAAGCTAAAGCTAAGCTACAACTAAGCTAAAGCTGAGCAGCAGCTAAGCTAAAGCTAAGCTAAAGCTAAGCTAAAGCTAAGCTAAATCTAAGCTAAAGCTAAACTAAAGCTAAGCTAACGCTAAGCTAAAGCTAAGCTAAAGCTAAGCTAAAGCTGAAATTAAGCTACAGCTAAGCTCAAGCTAAGCTAAAGCTAAGCTAAAGCTAAGCTAAACGCTAAGCGAAAAGCTAAGCGAAACGCTAAGCTAAAGCTAAGCTACAGCTAAGCTACAGCTAAGCTAAAGCTAAGCTAAAGCTAAGCTAAAGCTAAAGCTAAAGCTAAAGCTAAAACTCCCAGGGGACTGGGGGGAACCGCTCCCAGGGGACTGGGGGAACCGCTCGGGGCGTGTTCCACTGCCCGGCCCCTTTAAGCTAAGAGAGTAAGAACCCTTCTAGGCAGAGCCTAGGTAGGGAGCAAACACAATCCTTGGGGAGTTTTCTGGGGAACACTATTTTCTTGGGGGGGGGGAGGGTCCTTTTGTTTTTTTGGTTTTCGGTTGAAATCAAAAAGCAAACACAAGGATTTCTCTGGGTTTTCGGTTGAAGAACAACAGCACAATCTTTACAGCTGGTGAAGTCATAAGTCCTGAGGAGAACCAGCAACACTTGTGGATATGTTCGGGAGCTGACACAAGGGGTCCAGAGGATCAGACCACGAAGATCTCCCAGCCCCGAGCTGTAGTCCTTGATATCGCCGCTGCTTTTCGCCTCCAGCTTGATCTCCAGGTCGCGGCACCAGCGCCTTCTCTGATTTTGTTTGAGAGCTCACAAGTGCCAGTGCCAACAAGTCCCGAGCGACCAGCTTCGCTCGTTTCATGGATGTTCCTGAAGGTCGTGGCGTTACTTTGGAGGAAGCTACCGTGAGGACGAAGTGCCCGATGCGCGGTCAGTTGCTGCCTCGGCCGATAGTGCGTAATCTATTGCCCGATGAGATCGGACCCGATCAGGCGTGGCTGGAACATCTTCCTTTGGCGGTCCCCGCTGAAGGTGTTACGAAGCTCGTTCAGTTCGTAGATTTCTTGCGCCCGTTCACTGGCCCGCGCCCGTGCGCGGAGGATGACCGGCCCGATCGGAGGATGGTGAAGATGAAAGAGTTCGAGCGGATTGCCTTGTCTAACTGCTACGAGCGCTACCCTGACACCATCGGGCCCGCCGGGCAAATCGATCTGCCTTGCGCTACGCAGACGTCTGCCACCAAACAATCCCGACGACGCGCGGTGCCTTCCAAGCTGTTCGCGATAGAGGAGGACAATGAGATAAATTGCAGCGATTCGTTTCAGATGTGTCACGGGTTGATGTGCGAGGTGGACTGCGGCCCTCATTTCAGGGGCGGTTCCAAGAGCGCTGCAATATCTACTTGAACGGTTGCCCGGGCTCCGGGCGAGATGCCGTGCGGTTGTGGGCTCGGGCGCTCCGAATCGGTCCACGGCGCAGGACTCGAAACGCAGGATCTTTGATTCATCGAGGAGCATGGGCCGAAGACCAGCATGGACTAGAAGGCCTCGGGGTTCGCGGAGATAGCTTGCGACGGCCCCGACGCGCCGATCTATGGCTGGCCTGAGCCACTCGTTGAACGTCCGCGTCTCGACCGCTGGAAGTTCGCGGCTGCAGCCCGCGAGCAATCGTTCAAGCGTCGCGCGCTCTGGGACATCGCGGGGTGGTCATTGGCGTGCGTGCTGGCCCCGCTCTTGGGTCTGGGGGAAGAAGGCGTTCATTTGCATTTGCGAATCTGGTTTCGAAAAGAGCCCGCTGGCAAAGATCTTGGCCGGGTTGTTTTCCATGTTGCAACGATGGGGTGGGCGAGGGGCACGGCCCCCGCCCGTGCAATTCCTTCGAGCGCCCACGACGCGAAGCGGACAGGCGGTAGGTGTCGGAGGTCACCGACGATTGCGATTTGGAGCAGCAGGGCCAGGCGAAGCTCCAGGCGTTCCACGACAACGCCGAGGGAAAGACTCTCACGGTCGGAAAATATACTACGACGAGCTTCATGGGACAGAGCGCTCGCGTCACTGCGAACGACGCCTACGACGGTGACGCCCTGCCGTCAGATGTCGAGCTGGCGTGCGCCTCGCCCGTTGCCGCGGCGCAGCCATTCCACGGCGCGGTCCGACCGCCGTTCCACGCGAACTTTTCCAAGAAGAACTTGAGGGCAGTCTTCGGGAGGTCCAACGTCTTTCTGTTCGACGGGGGGGGGGGGGGGGGGCGTGCGCTGGAGACTTGCTGGCAAGGAGGGCCAGCAAGTTCCCTTCGTGGCCCGCCCAATCGATGGAAAGCAAGAGACCTTGGACGACGAGTGCAAGCCACGCCGCGGCAGGTTTCTCGAGGACGACAGCATCCCCCCTCCAGCCGACTACGACGAGAAGATGGCGTGGTCCTTGGCCCACTGGAAGGTTTGCATGGCAGGGCAGACGCCCCCGCCGATCAATGCCACCATTGCCCGCGACGTCGCTGGCGGGGCGCGCGGCTTTGCTTGCCTCTGCCAGGGCGAGGCTAGCGTCGTGGAGAGCAAGCCGACCACCCGTTAGCCTGTGGGCATGCTGGCCAGTCGCGGCTCCGCTGGTCCGCAGCCAGCGGAGGCGGGCGCGGCGTCGGCGGAGCACCTCGAGAAGGAGCAGGTGGAGCGGGCCATGCGCGCGACAGCTGGCCCTTTGTCCGTCGGCCCAGGGCGGTGGCAGGGCGAGGGCCAGGGAGGTTGGGCGAGCGTATTTGACGGATTGCCATTGTTGTTTTCACCGCACCGCTGGACTTATGCGCTTGGACGACAGAAATCAACGATTCTTATAATTTGCAGAGTGCAAGAGTTTGTGGCCAATGCTAATGGGACGGCGCACGTATACAATTCCAGACAACGATATGACTTCATGTATTCATCGGTTTGTGATACTTGTCTGATCGCTTTTATGTGGGGGCAGGCAAACCATACACAAAACGACCCATTCGTACAAATTGCGCGCGTGTGCAGAATGTGGCAAACCCCATTGCGACTGCTTGCGAATGAAGACTCAGAAATCGATATTGCTTAATGCATTCATCTGTAGTTGATGATTCCCGTTCGTTTTTACATGGGAACATGCAAACCGCAATAACGCAACCTCTTCGTACAAGTTACTCGAGCGTGCAACATGGGGCAACTCCTCATATAACTGCTTAGTCTGAAAACCCAGGAAACGATTATATTCCACAGCGTCTTTTGTGTGAAAACAGAACATATATATAGTTGTAAAACATATGACCATTTTTAGGTACAGTTGGGCAAATCATACAAAAACCGACGAGTTGTACAAGTGTGTTGGTTGTTTGCAAAAAAAGGAGCACAGCGCCATCAAATGCACAGTGTGATTTTGAATGGATTTATTCCGGTTGTCAAAGTCGCGTCGGTGAACCGTCATTTTTTGATGAAACGCCGCCCATAGAAACGGGGGCGCGCAGCGTTTCCCCCGACATATATCGGCTTACGTGCGTTCGCTTATGTATGTATGTATGTATGTATGCAGTTATGTTCGTAAGTACGCATGTATGCATTCATGCGAACCATCATGCATGCATGTGTGCATGCATGTATGCATGTACGTATGTATGGGTTGCATGTGTGTCTGTATGTATGCACGCGTGCATGGATTCATGCAAGTATGTATGTACGTGGGTGCGTCGGTAGATCGGTAATCCTATATGTATGTATGCATGTATGCATGCATGTGTGTATATATTAGTTTGCATACGTGTATGTATGATGTATGCCTGCGTGCATGCGTGCGAGCATGTGTGTATGTATGTTTGTGGGTGTGTATGGAGGTCTGTATGTATGTACGCTTGTTTGTCTGTATGTACATGCGTATGCATATGATTGTGTGTATGTCCTTGTGAATGTACAACTGCATGCATGTATGTAGGTATGTATGTACGTATGTAGTCGTTTACGTAATTATGTGTGTCGGTGTGTACAGTTGTATGCAGGTATTCATATATGCATGTATGCCTGTATGCATGCAGTTATGCATGCACGTATACATGTGCATGTATGCATGCGTATTTGTATTTCTATATGCATGCATGCATGCATGTGCTTATGTGGGTGAGCCAATCAGTCATTATGTTTATGTGCACGCATGCGTGCATGCATGCAGTGTGTGTATCGCCACCCAGAGGGTAACTCGGCTGGTGGGATCAAGGTTATGGCAGCGGGGATGGTAATGGGCTGAACGTTGCTCCTCTTCCTGCATGGCCCATTAAGATCCGATCGATCCGATTCGGTATCGGTTCGAACCGGCCCGATCTGATTCAATTCTCACGGTCTGGCGATCCGATGCGGCCCGATGCCTGCATGGCGCTGTTGTGCATCCTGGTGCAGCCGATCCGATTCGACGTCTGCACCATGCTGATGCATGCCGACCCGACGCACATTTCGATTCGATTTGATGTCTGATTCGACGATGTCTGATCCTATTCTCCTGTTGCTTGCTGGATTGCTCGCTCCACCGCATGGATCCGACTCTGGTGGCTTAGTTCAGCCTTGGCTCAGGTTTCTCAGGCGTTTTTTCCCCCCCCCGTCGACGGCTCGAATTTGGGTTCTTGCTCGTCTTCGTTCTCCTCCCCCCTCCCCCTGCCCCTCCTCCTCGTCCTCCTCCTCGTCCTCCTCCTCCTCGTCCTCCTCCTCGTCCTCCTCCTCCTCCTCCTCCTCCTCCTCCTCCTCCTCCTCCTCCTCCTCCTCCTCCTCCTCCTCCTCCTCCCCCTCTCCCTCGTCGTCGTCGTCGTCGTCGTCGTCCTCCTCCTCTTCCTTCTCCTTCTCTTTTCCTCCTCCTCCTTCTCCTCCTTGAAGGACTCTGGCGGCGGCAAGGGCTTCGGCTCAGGCGGCTGGGAGGACCGCTCCCGGACGCCCCGTGGCGGCGACTGGGGCGGCGGCGGCTGCGGCCCCGGCGGCTGGGGCGCCGGCGGGGGCGCCAGTCGGGTCGTCCCCCCGAGGGAGAGGGACGACCGAGGAGGCGACGGTCGCGGCAGGGACTGGGACCGAAGCCGGGACTGGGACCGCGGCGACCGCGGCGACCGCGGCGACCGCGGCGGCGGCGGCGGCGGCTACTACGGCCGCGGTCGGTAGAGCGAGCCGAGGCTGCCCCCCAGGGCGCCCGCGCCCGGCCCGCCCCGTCGCGAGCATAGGGCGAAGGCGGTCGGCGCGGCAACAAGCGGGGGTCGGGCGGGGGGGGGGGATGTGGGGAGGGAGGGAGGGGTGGCGGGGGGCGGAAGAAGGAGACGGGGGGAGGGAGATTGGCGAGGCGGGGAGGGAGGGCCGAGGATCCTCAGAATGTGCGTTAGCCCGATGTGTGTTTACTTACCCCGTTCGGCCTGTGGCCTCCATTGTTGCACCACCTTCGCCGTACTGAAGGGCTTCGCTGGACCAGCACACGTTGGCGCTAATACACGTTGGGAAAATCATCGAGAGGGGACGGGGGGTTGAGCGGCGGGACCGGGGAAATGGGGGGGATGGGGTGGGGTACGGTCGACCAGGAGGTGGGGTGGGTTGGGGGCAGGCGAGACGGGAGAGGGTGAGGTTGAGGGCGGGCGTGGTTCGGAGAGGAGTGTGGGAGCGAGGGGCGCGGTATGGGGAGATCCTGTGGACGCCCTCCCCGCTTCCTTCTCTTCCTTTGTGTCTTCTGCGTCGGCGTCACCCTCCTCCCTGTCCTGTGCCTCTTTCAAGCTCCCTCAAGCTGCGGAAACGTCCTGCTTCCAGATGAAACACGACGCACAGGGTTAAGCACACACGTGAATTAGAAGATGGTGAGGCGGAAGGACCTCCCGACCACGCGCTTGGTGGATGGTTCTTTCCCCTCTTTGAGCTACTTCAGGGTTCTCTCTCCGTCTTTGTTTCGGGGAACTCCAAGACAGGACTCCCCAAACAAGCGGAGCCTGGAGCTCCCGAAAGCAGCACACGCAGAGCACCAGACCAGGGACGGGCCCAGTAGCCACAGCCTATGGCTCTGGTGGGCTGCGCGAGCAAGACGGGGGAGCCCTGTGCACGGCAGTGCGCACAGTGCGCGCTCCGAAAGGCAACGATTTCCACAGCGCTTGCAGATGTAGGCCTTGCCTGCTTTACCCACTCGCCGCACAACATGGCCCTAAGGGTCAGGGACAAGCTGGAGGGTGTCAAAAGACGGCCGACGGGGCTTTGTAACCCTCTGCACATCAGGGAAATTACATATATGCTTGCCAAAAGCCTCAAGGAGACGGCACACACTACGGACCGAGTCGCGGCTATCTTTACGCTACTGCACCAGACAGGATTCGTGGCAGGCATCTTGGCACCACGCTCAGCAAGCTTGTCTGCCAGCGTGTGCCCGAACCAGCCCCAGAATGGCACACCGGACGTCCTAGAGCAAGCCTGCCACGAGAGGTGAGCTCGATGGTCTCGAGCCCAAGATCGGCCGCCAGGAGAAACACCTGATCCCAAAGTACGTAACCTAGGAGCGGTCCACATCTGGACCAGCATTTCGATCATCGAGGACGGCCTGACAATCGGTAAAACATTCCAGGCGTCCAGGAGCGGCAAATTCCAAGTCCTGCCAGTGCGGTGCGATATCAACCTCCTCACGCCGAGTGGCGAGCAAATCGTGGCAAACTATTCGATGGTGTATCTGGGTGCTAAACTTTCCAGCTCAGGGCAGGTATGTGGAGAATTGGGCAGGATATTGGAAGCAGCTTGGGGCGAATTCTGCAAATACGAACGTGCCTGGAAGCACGCGGCTATTACCACAGCGCGGAAAATCAAGATATTCCAGGCACTCGTAACCAGCAGGGTGATGTATCCATTGAATTGAGCATGGCTTAAGAAAGCAGAGCGGAGAAGGTTGGATGGCTTTCAATTTAGGTGTTTGCGACGAATATTGCACATCGCCCCAGCGTGCGTTTCCCGAGCTTCTAAGGAAAGCGTCTTGTTCAGTCTGGTGAGCAGCCCTATACATCGCAACTTTTACAGCACCAACTTCTGCTCTTCGGGAAGATTGGCAGGGCTGCCGCCTCCAACCCGTTGCGCCGCCTCACCTTCCAGCCTTGCAGCCTGAGGCCGGCCACAGACGCGTGCGCCAGATCAGTGGGGAGGCCGAGGCAAGAATGGGCGAAAGGCTTGTTCGCTTCTGTCGCGCAGCATTTTGATAACCCCGACCACTTGATGGATTGCGTTGGCGATCCGGTCGTATGGCGCGAGCTTGTAGCTCAGGTTGCACATTCCCCTTCTTGTCCCCCTGCTCCCCCCCCCCCTTCCCCCTCTCGTCCCCCCCTAGATAGCCGGCTGTGCGTTAGATTCTATCCTATTTTGCCTGCGCCGCCGTAGCAAGCGCAAAGCGGAGGCTCCAGCGAGTGCGCATTCTGTTATTTCGTTTCGCCCACGCGCTACGGCGATTGACTGAGGAGCGGCAAGGCGGAGGGCCATGATGAACGCATAGATCTCCCCCCCACCGCTACGCTGTGAGGGGTGGGAGAGGGGCCCGTACACACTATCGTCAGAGCCTCCTACTTCCAGCGTGCTGACTACAGCCCAGCCCGCTCTCGTCGAGAAAGGGTTACCTGGTCGAGACCCGACCCATCAATGCAAAGGCGAGGACCCAACAACCCAGAGGAGGGCCGCAAGTGCCAACGCCTCGCCTGGGCCATGGACAACGAGGGCCAATCGGAACCAGGGTCGGGCAAGAGGGCGCTGGTGGAAAGCAAATCCTGACCGGGCCTAACTATTCATTCCTGGGTCACATTGTCAAGGTCAAGATCCCGACGGAATAGATGGAACCCTGGGCATTCGGTAGAACCTATGCTTCGGGGTACCCTCCACTTGCCCACATAGAAGACATCATGGTCTGACAACTTTCCGATCGATGTAAACTTGCAACTGGCAAATATATCGACCTGCAATGAGGCCCGCCAAGAACATCGCCGCATCATTTTTTGTTTTTTGTTTTTGTTGTTTGTTGTCTTGGTGTTTCTCTATTTTTCTTCTTCTTCATCTTCTTCTTTATTTCTTTCTTTCTTTTCTTGTTGTGGAACTCTTGTAGCTCCTCACGGATAGTATTGATCAAATGAGGCTTCATCGCCCCGTTGTGGGACGGCGCCGAGACATGTCGCAGCCACCGTCGATGTGTGCTTTGACCGATCCAGACAAAAGCAGCGCGGCGTCCAACGGATGATAGATCAATAATCATTCCATCCCCGATGTCCATTGATCAACATCCCTTCCTTCCCTTCCCAGTCGTGGCAGCGGAGCAAAAATATCACCGGCAGGTTCCAACACTTCCGTCCACTTGGCATCCATGTGGTTGGCCTTGTAGTGCCTCCAGCACGTGGGTACCCACTGGTGCAGGATGGCCTGGTGCCTCATGCCCAGTTGGAGAGAATTGGCCTGGAAGGTCGGGTCCAGTTTCAAGATCTGAGTCAGAAGGAGCTGGAGGGTCCTACTGCGGCCTTGGTTGAGACCGAAAGCTGCATTCCCAATGGTGGCCCTCACGGGGACCAAGTTCATTGGGGCCATCCCCGTCATTAGTGTCCCGCATAATGAATGCTGCAGGGGCCCCCAGTCTTGAGGGTGCGGTGCGTGCCCGCATAGGGATAACTCAGACATTACCACCTACGACTCTGGATATGGGTCGAGCGCTTCCTGGAGCCCGCGAAATCCACGCCGAGGTTCTTGGTGGCGCCCCTGATCTTGAAGTCCCAGACCTGGAGCCCCACACAAATGACTTGGAAGATGTGCGGCGAGGAGCCTGTGATGATCCCTTTGGTAGGTTGAAAAAATCCCAAGAGTTCCAGCTGCATGTAAATGAACTTGGTGGCCCCCAAGACCATGACTGTGAAATGACACCTCTTACCAACAGCTCCTACCGTGATGTCACCAGCTACGTTGTAGAGGCTGATGCTCGGGAACAACCGCACAGCTTCATCCAACACGTCCAATAGGAAACAGCAAGGGAGCGTGTTTGCAAAAGAGCATTCAGTCAGGATTCCCTGGTCAGAGAACATGTCCGCAGAGACTCATCTCGAACAGAAGCGAGCGCTTGCCACGGTACAGTGTAAGAAGGAAACGAATCCAGTGTGCCCTAATCCCGTGTTGCACCGCCGGCTTAGCCAACAGGTATTGCTGTACCTTCTCATAACAATTAGACATATCCATTAGAGCATGTGCAGCATTATGGCGACAGATATGTGCATGCTCAAGGTGAACCGACTGCTCCCATATGGCACGTTCGCACGACCGCATTCTGCTACCATACATAGCGAGTGAGGATTGTCGAACTCTCAGCGCTTTGCTTCGAATCTGGAATACCTCCCGAATCTCATTTCCTCCTCGTTCTCTTCCTTTTCCTCCTCGTCCTTCTTTGCCTCCTCTTCTCACCTCTATCCCTCCTCCTGCTTCCTCTGGTCAACTCTGCTTTTTCCCACCTGCGTTTGCCTCTGTTCCTCGCCCTCCCCCTTCCCCTCCTCCGCCTATTTTCTCGTCGCCGTTCTCGCCGCCGCTGTCCGTATCCCGACCTTGCTCCGAATCCTCGATGCTCTGACGGGGCGCGGCCGCCGAGGTGGACGCCATCCTCCACGATGCCCTCGATGTCATCGAGGCGCTGCAATCTCATCGACCCTCGCTCGAAGCCGTTTGGCTACGCTGCAGCGGGCGAGGAGGAAGCGGATAAGATGGAGGAGGAGGAGGTTGAGGAGGGGAGGAGGAGGGGGAGGAGGAAGAGAGGAGGTGGGGGAGGACGATGACGACGACGGTGATGGTATTGGTGATGGTGGTGAATGTTGTTGATGGTGATGGTGATGCTGTTTTTTCTTCGACGTTCGGACCAATCTGAAATGATGATTGAAAGTGTGGCACATTATCACTGTCCGCATCGGAGTCCTCTGCAGCTTTTCTGGCTTGGGATGGGAGGGCCCGGCCCGCTCGGCGCCCCTGCCGCCGCGATCGCGGCGTTCCTCGGTGGCCTCAGCGGCGGCTGGTGGGCCGGGCCCGAGGCTGCGGGGCAGGGCTCCTGCGGGCACGTCCTCGACTGCCCGCCTTGCGCCTGCCCGGCGCCTGCTTGCCCCACGTTGTTTTGCCCGCCGGCGGCGCCCTGCCCGGCGTGCGTCTGCCCGGCGGCGGTCTGCCCCGAGGCGATCTACCCCTCGCCGGCCGCCTGCCCGGCGGCGGCCGCCTGCCTCGCCTGCACCTGCGGCTGGGCGACGTCGGCGGTGTGGGCCGCCGCTCTGGCTGCTGCGACCCTCGCCTTGGGTCTCGCAGCGGCCTGCCGCCTGTGGTGCCACGGCCGCTGGGTCGGCACGGCGACGGCCGGGGCCTCGTTCGGGGGCCCCGCCACGCCCTCCGCCCTGGCCGCAGGCCGTGCGGCGCCACCGCCGCTGGCGCTGGGCGACCGCGACGCTGGGGGTGCTGGTCTGGCTGCTCTCGACGAGCCTGACGTTTGGGTGCCGCGGCGTCGCCGCTGATGGCCGCCGTCCCGCAGGCCCTCGACATCGAGCAGCAGCAGATTGCCGAGGCGTTCGACGACGACCCGAACTTCAGGTGGCACCACCGCATCCTCCTGGTCAAGATCGGGGACGACGGGCGGTGGGTGTATGCGACTCCAACCCACGATGTCCAAGTGCGGAACCTCTCCACGTCGCGCATCGTGCCGCTGGTGCGGGGGTGCCCCATCCCGCCTCGCCTGCGGGGGAACTTCTTCGGTTTCGACCCGTTGGGGGAGGACGAGCTGGCGGGCCTGATGCAGCAGGCGCACGCGCTGGCGAGTATCTTGGGTGGAGCTGCGCCTGCGGCTGCGGCCTCGGCGGCCGTCTGGTACGTTGCCGACCCCGCCGACGAAGACTTCGGCACCGCCGTCGAGGTCGCCGTCACCTCCAACCCCGCGCGCTTCGTCTCCCGGGGTCACACGGGGCTCGCCAGGATGGACGACCAGAGGTGGGTGGCGGTCGAGAGGCTGCTGCCCGGCGACCTGGCAGCCTGGAAGGAGGAGAAGCAGACAGGTGCCGGCCGCGACCCGCGACGCGCAGGAGGCCCGCTACCTCGACTTCAAGGAGGGCTTGGCCTCTCTCTCGGAGCTCCCTGTGAAGACGGGCCGCGACGGGATGACGACCGCCGAGGCCAAGGACTGGCCCTTCCGTGGGCCCTCGGCCTCGCTCGAGCTGCTGCGCGGGATCCGCGCCTCAGGAGAGTCCCTGGAGAGCTACCACTCTGCGTGGGCCAGGTCGTCTGGGGTCAGCGCCGAGGCTGGCGTGGCCAAGCATCACCCGAGCCTCGTGTCCGTGCTGCACCACGCGCTCTGCTTCGACCAGCTCGAGATCTTCCAGAGTGCTGCGATGGAGATGCTGGCTCGGCGGGTACTCTACATCGAGCGCGCAGTCAAGAAGTCGCCCAAGAACCCCGACTTCCGGGGCCTCGAGATGATGATCCACAGCCGCCTCGACAGCGGCGCCACCCTGGCGGTCGGGGACTTCGCCCGCTTCATCGCCGACGAGCAGAAGACGGAGGCCTTCACGCTGAAGCAGCAGCGCCTCTACGCCGAGGAGAGCGGCCGCAAGAAGGGCGGCAAGGACAACGAGTAGGGCCATCGAGGCCCTCCCCCTCGCGCCTGGCCCTCCGCCTCGCAGTGGTGCTGCTGCTGCTCGGATGGATCGCCGTGGTGCTTCCCGCTGGCAGTGTGGACTGTTCCCGCTCCCGCGGCCCAAGTCATTCTTTTCCTTGCCCGGCTCAGCGTCGGGACGGGGGCTCGTGGAGGCCGGCGCAGTGGGCGCGTTGCAGCTTGATGCCGCCGCCGCTCTTAACGCTCTGGCAGCCGCGCGCGCCCGTGGGCTGCCCAGGCCGGCGTGGCCCAGCCGCCTTCCCCGCGGGCGGGAGCTGTCTGACGCCCAGCTCGCGACGTGGAGGCGCCTCGCGGACGTGGCCCTTGCCGCGGGCCCGAGGCCACTCGAGTTCGACCTCTTCCCCTCCGGCGCCCTGCCGGAGCTCCTCAAGGCAAAGGACCTCTACGACGCGGACGTTCCCTTGGCTGTGGCGCCCTACGACCCAGACCGCGTCTCCGTCACCTCCAAGCGGCTGCGCCCGAAGGACGCCCGGCTGCTGGTGGGCGCCGACGCGGCCCGCTACCTTGCCGACCCGTCACTCATCGCGCTGGGGGGTGCCCAGCTGGAGGGAGTCGAGCCTGTTCGTCCCCACTGGGACCGGCGTCTGGCTTCGAACCCCCGCCTCCTCCGTGACTTCGTGCAGAGGCTCGCCGACTGCGGCCTCATCTGCTACAGGACGAGGGTCGCCGCCCGCTGCGGGATGTTCTTTGTCAAGAAGAAGTCTGGGCAGCTCCGCCTCGTCCTCGATGCGAGGCCGGCGAACGCTGTCCACCGCCGGGCGCCCTGCACCAAGCTGGCCACCACTGGGGCCGTGGGGTCGCTCATCCACGACCCGGGCTATGTGGCCGCTGCCGCCCTGGACGCTGCCGGAGCTGATGGCGCGGCTCAGCCCGCCCCGCCTCGGGGCGCATGCCGCTCCAAGGAGCTGTGGGGAGGCTCCATCGACCTCCAGGACGGCTTCTATCAGTTCCTGGTGCCGACGGTCTCGCACTACTTCGGCCTGGGGCTCCAGGACACCGCGGGGGCGCTGGGGGTGGAGACTGTGTTTGACCCCGACCTCGGGCGCGACGTGGCCGTCGCCGAGGACGCCCTCCTGGAGGCGTGCTTCGCGGGCTTGCCTATGGGCTGGAGCTGGGCGCTGTTCTTCTGCCACAGCGCCGTGTCCGAGGCTTGCCGTCGGGCGCAGCGGTCGCTGGGGCTTCCCGAGCACGGATAGGGAGCCGCCCCCGCCGCTGGCCGCTGGGACAGCGATCTGCGCCCCCTACGTCGACAACGCCAACGTCATCGGGGGCGACAAGGCCTCCGTCGCCCGCCTCCTCTCCGCCGTGGTCCACGAGCTGGAGGAGGCGGGCCTCGCGGTGCACGAGCGCGTCGACCCGTGCCTGGACTTCGAGGCGCTTGGCCTGCACTTCGACGGGCGCCGCTCTTGGATCCGCCCCACCTCCCGACGATCGTGGAGGCTTTGGTATGGGCTCGGCACGTTGCTCCAGGTCAAGGCCATCTCCCCGGGCCACATGCACCGCCTCTTGGGGCACCTTTGCCATCAGTTCTGTCTGCGAAGGTGCCTCCTCTCGGTGCTCGGCGAGTGCTACCGGTTCGTCGGCAAGGGGGGCTCCGCGGTGCGACCGCTGCCGGAGGGGGCTCTCGCCGAGCTGGCTGTCGCCCGCGGCCTGTGCCTCTTCGCGCACGTCGACATCGCGGGCGAGATGCTCGGCCGAGCCTACTGCGGCGACGCCTCCACCGAAGGGTACGCCGTCCACTTCACCGCCGCGGACCCCGCCAGCCTCTGGCGGGAGGCCGTCTGGCGCGAGCGGTGGCGCTTCGTGGACGACGACGGCGGGCCCGCAGCGACGACCGCGGCCATCCGCGGGGCCGAAGTCGCCCCCCTCTTGCCCGAGGGGGCCTTCTCCCGCTGGGTCGCCGGCTCGCTGCAGCCGCTGCCCAGCGAGGCCCCGCTGCAGGCGGGTGATCCCCGCTCCCGCCGCCCGCCCCGCGACTTCCGAGAGCGGGTGGGCCTGGTGCCTCCGATCGCAGCGGAGTGGGCGCGGCCCAGCCGCTGGCGCCGTGGGGCCGTGGGCTCCTGGCGGCGCCCGGCGGCGATCCACTGCAAGGAGGCCCAGGCGGCCCTCCTCGGCCTCGACCGCGAGGCGCGCGACGCCCGGTCGCACGGGTGCCACCTCGTCTCCTTCGGCGACAACCTGTCGGAGATCCTGGCGTTTGATCGGGGTCGAGCGAGGGGCGAGGAGCTGCTTGCTCTCACACGCCGCGCGTGCGCCCTTCAGATCGGCGCGGGCATCACCTGGCACCGGCGCTACGTGGAGACCGAGCGCAACCCGTCGGACTTCGATTCCCGCCTGGCCGGGCGGGGCCTGGTGCCTTTCGGGCGCCGCGCGCCGGGGGCGCTCCTCCGCCAGCTGCCCTTGGCCGCCGCCGTGGGGCCAGAATGGCAGGCAGAGGCGGCCGAGCCAGCTGCGCCCCCTGGGCGCCCTCGCGGGGAGGCCGCGGTCGCCGGAGGCCGACGGCCCGCGGCGCTGGCCGCCAGGGGGGCCCCCTCGCCGGGCAGGGGGGGGAGGATTCAGCCCTCCAAAGTCACAGCCCCCTGCCCGGCTCCCCCGCCGCGGCCGCCGCGGCCGCCCGCTGACTCTGGCGCCCGCGGGCGCTCCTCCTGGCCCGCCTCGCGGCCGGTGTTCCTGGAGCTCTACTCCGGCTGCGGTGCGGCCACCGCCGCCGCCGCGCAGGAGGGCCTGCGCACCGCGGTACCTGTCGATCGAGTTCATGGGCCTCATCATGACCTCCTGGACCCACGAGTGCAGCGCGAGATCCTGGCCTGGATCTCTGGCGGGTTGGTGTGGTGCATCTTGCTCGGCACTCCTTGCACGGGATGGGTGACGGCCCGCACCACAGGGGTCGGAGACCATCCCACCACCGCTTGCAAGACCTTCACCGCCAAGGTCCTGCGGGTCGCAGCGCGCTGCGGCGTCCACATCATCCTGGAGAACCCTGCTCG